AATATATATATAACGTAAGTATTATCTAGAAGCTGCTCATAAATCTAGTGCATCTTTCCTGTTTTGTTTCAAACATTATTTACCATATATATCTCAATATCTCAATGGTATCACTTGATTCACATTTAATGACAAAATATAACAAACCATCACGTCTGTAATTAATTCCAGACAAATTGAATAACAATAATAATTGTATTGACTTGTACCAAAATGTAAGTTGTGGGAAACTGATTATTATTACCAATCACAGAAATAAATGAATATAATTTTCATCACACTTATAAATAACATGATGTAAATAGATTTGTGAAACAAAGGCAAGTTTATTTTTATTAGCATTTACATGTACAAGACTGCAAAGAAAAAAAAAAATCGCTGCTGTAATTCTTAACACTTCAAAATATAACACTCAGTATGAACATGGAGCTCCATAGTATACATCTTATTTTTTTTTTCCTACTGAAACCAGGCTGAAACAGTATTGTAAGAAAAACCTAGGTTTCCCTAGGTCTGTCTTCTTTGTTCTCTGTTGTTTGTTTTCAGTGGGGGCGTTAATGGGCAGTTAACCCAGAGGTTAGGTTTAAACCTACTACTAATTTGCATATTGTAGGTCTAGTAGGTCTGAATAGGGCAGGTCGGGTTTACCCAGGTTAACCCAGGTTTGACCCAGGTGTTTGAATATGAGATCACCCCTAACAGAAAATCTATGTCTCCAAGTTTAATTGAAATGTGATTAGAACCAAAAAATTATGAATTATTATGCTTATTAGGGAATTAATATGAACAGATTTTTACCCCAAACTAATTAGGTTTGTACATTGTCCTAGAGCATCTTTGTACTAAGTTTCATTGAAATGGAATAATTAGTACCGTGAAAACTCCAAAATTTCGACCCCTCTAAAAATTCGATTGGCTATTTATTTGCCGGGTTTCGGTGTTTTATGTACCTCCAAATTTTCGACTCCACTAAAAATTGCCGACTCATTCTTATTCGAAAATTGCGACCAGTTTTAGTTTTAGATGTGAGCGTTCAAACGGGACCTTCCTCAAAGGCATGAATCCGGGTTTCTGATTGACTGAGAGATTTTTATTTTATTGGTAACGAAAATATATTCTAAATAAACGAAGTTTCAAATAAAAACGAACACAAAAATCTCGGCATGCTGCGTTTCTGAATTGTTGATTATTACTGTACTCAGTAGTGATTATAATAATGTACACAAAATAAATTTGTTGAATGGTTATGAAATACAAATAAAAGTCAACTAAGTTTCATCGTAAGCGAATGATTCCGGTCTCGTGTAAACGTTTGATGCTGTAGGATATCCGCCATGTTCTCTTAGGTCAAATAGGTCAAATCGCTAATTAACCAATCAAAAAGCTGGATGATGCCAACGTGTTCAAATTACCATAGCTTATTTAAATATGTTAATGTTATTGAACGCAATGCGAAGAGATTGATGTTGTAGTACGATATTTTGGCTTGATTTTGATGCGAAAACGGCAGGATTTTTTTTTTAAATAAAAAAATTAGTTGTTTTTAAAAAATAAACTGGTCATCTGAGATATTTACATTG